AATACAAGCTGCTGTGTATATTTTAAATATGTGTAGATAGCTGGGCGGATGAACGGGTAGGTAGGTAGGTAGGTAGGTAGGTAGACAAATAGATAATAATGCTTAATTTCACTCCAGGCCAGAGGAAAGAAACACCTGCACTAATGTTTGGAAAAGAAATGACTTTCCAGCTTCCGGCAGTAGAACAGGGCACAGAAAGCTTTCACAGCCTGGAGACAGTCCTGACTGTTTGATGAACCCTGGATCCGTGTACCAGAAATCAGCTGGCCTGCCAAAGGTGTCAGAGAGAAGCCAAACAGAAGCAGAGGACGAATGGGATTCGGCTGTTTCCCAGTGGCCTGCAGTACCAACTGCCATGTTGAGAAATCCGCAGTCTCAGGGTACCTCATATACATTTAAACACAGCCTTTGCCCACAAGACATGAACAAGGAAAAAACTGACCATTTCCAAAGCAACAGAATGATTCAGGTAAGATATACATGCGTGCATATATTTGCCTCTTAATAGGATGTTTTTGAATCTCCTTCCAAACCTACTTACTTACTTTCCAGACTGAAAATATTTCTTGAAGTGCCCGGTGACTTATAAGGAGTAGAGAATGTTCTCACCTAAACTCAAACATTATGTTTATCTTTCTTTTTTTCGTCCCTGTGTCAAAGAAAAAGCCAGCATACCACTCTAAAGTGAAGGAAAAAGAGAATTCTCTCAGAATTTTATCTGCTGTCATTGAAAGCATGAAGCACTGGAGTCAGTATACTAATAAAACTGCTCTCTTATTTGAGGTACTGGGTGAGTACATTAAGATGCTTGTGGCAGTTTTCCTTACAGGAATATTGGTCTTATCATCCCAAAGGAATCAATTACTTTTAAAACATTTCAGCCAACCTCTTCAGCTCTTTGAATAAAAGGCATTTCCAAGTAATTTGGGTTGTCCTTTCCCATATCAGCACACCCGCTCGGAAACAATCCGAAATGTTGAATTTTCTAGAGTCAAAATGGAGGTGGGGGGGGGGGGACTGAGAATGTGTGGAAAAGATAGATTATTCCCAATGCTTCTTCAGTTAGATCAATCCACAACTATTGGAAGATAAGCTGGCCCCCTGCCTGTCCCAGTTTCCATTGTTACAAACCCTAGTGAAATAAATGTAGAACCCCACTTTACAATGCTGGATTGTAAGATGCAAAATCTTTTGCCACCAATTGTGAGTTACGCACGATGATTCAAGAGTGTAAAAGTATATAATCAATCTCTGCTCAACGGCCAAATGATTTAGGTGTTCTTTCATCAACCATTTTGATGAAAGTCCCCCACGTTATTAACATCACCTCTTGAGCTCTTTTGAGTTATTAACATCACCTCTTGCACCCAAAAATTCTTCTCCATTCCCTGCGTTATTAGTGTTCGCCCATCCCCACACTTCTTTCTTCAATATTCTTTAAAATGTGTATCTTTTCTGCGGAAGTGTTTCTGAGTCTTCTGTGTTCTCTGAAAGCTTTGTGCCTTCACAAAGACAGAGGTATAAGATCATGCTGGCAAAGAGTAATTAGTAGTTTTGTGCCTTGCCCAAAATAAAATGTGATTGACACACAAGGAAAATAATGTGATCTATAGTCATATGGTTGAAAAATTCACTAAATAGAATTATCCTTGGAATTGTCCCTTAGGATTTTTGGGAGGGGGGATTGGGGAATAGTAAGTCACTGTCCTTACTCCCAGCTGCTTGCTTACAGAGAGTAACTAAGCAAACAGCAGCAGCACATCTTTCACATCCCCACTTCTGTCAACATTTGTTCATCTCTCCTGGACCACAAGATAGGAGACAGTCAGCTGCACTAAAGCTGAGCGGCTCTTTGTACAGGGCTCAGTCGGCATGTTGACCTGGGCAGGTCCTCGTCTGTGCTAAACCTGGACATTTATCCTGGCTAACATTACTAGATGAGCACGTCTTTTCTTACAAAAGCAACAGAATAACATTTGTCTTAGCTCTGAAAAGCTTTAGGACAAATAATTATGCTGCATTATTTAGGTGTTCTGGATTCTGCTGTTACCCCTGGATCGTTTGGGGCAAAGACCTTCCTTTTGAGAGATGGAAAAGAGTGTGTGTCATGTGTATTCTATGAGATTGTAAGTATATATACACACATATATATATATGTGATCTTTAATCAAGGATGTGCTATGTATGCTGGAGACGTAACAACCTACACTGTAATCAAATTCACAAATATAATCAATACATCCTGGTTCTGGCAGGTTCTCTTGAACAAGTCAACCTTCTTAAAGAAGCAATTATTTCTATAGAACCTTATTTTAGGAGGCTGCGAATAATATCTTAACTCTGCAATTTGTGAATTTTATCATTGCAATAAAAACTATCCATAAATCTCTTAAGATGTATATTAAAAGTGATGGAATACATTATAAATTGGCAATAGACATTTGGTGGTGCTATTTCTACAGGGAAAGGGTAAGGAAAAAAGGAAGTCATCTTTTATTCTTCTTTGAAAAAAGGATCGGGAGCTACCGAGATTAATCAGAGGCCGAGTCCACAGATGCATGGGAAATTACGATGCAAAACAGAAGGTCTTTAAGTGTGTTTCGGTGAGGCCTGCAACGGCTGCTGAACAGAAAACTTTCCAGGATTTTGTCAAAGCCGCTGATGCGGAGATGTGCAGATATGTGAACATAAGCAGTGAAGTTTAAATATTTTTGATGCAGCTCAAAATCTTTGAAGAAGCATGTAATTTTTGTGTGCGTGAGCTGGACGTTGTAACACATAAGGGAAGTAATTCTAGAACTCACATCTTCATTGCTTGGGTGAAAACACTGTCAGCAACGTCAGCTGCAACTGTTGTCTAAAAATAAACTAATTTTAGTTTGTTTCTAATACTTTAATATGGGTGGCTTATGTTTTTTTTCCCTACCAATTTAATAATTTAAATTACAAGAACCATACTCAGTTGGTAGAAATCTCCTCCTTGCAAGGCCCCAGGGAAGAACAGGCCATCTGCAGAAGTATTTTCAAAAATTGGACAGAGACCAGTTATTTACCTCATGTGTCCAAACCAAGTAAACATCACAGAACAGAAGAACTTGTAGTCATACATCCAGCTAGCTTCCCTCCGATACTTCATCCAGACTTTGCTTTAGCCCACCAGAAAAGACACCTTTCTGTGGCCCCTGATGACACTCAGGCATCCCTGGGCTGTTTAAGGGGTCCCATCCACCTCTCCAGATGTTGAAAGGTTCATTCAATGTTGGGGATTGCGCTAACCCCTGAACCCTGGAGATGAACAGGATTATGATTTATAAGAATATCATGCCTTTGTTCTTTTTAGCTGTGGTGCAACTGTAAATAAATGCTTAGTGGCTTATTGGCAGACAGAATTAGCAAATGCATTATATGGTATCATAGAAGGGAATGCAGTAAAGACGTTGCGCAAGGTTCAGGTTCTTTTTTTTTTTTCCTTCCTTTTTGAAGTTACAAATTTCAAGCGCTTGCTTGGGGACTACAGATCACAGTTCCTCTCATATTATTTAGGATTTGTGTACCATCTGCTAGTACTGACCTTATTTTAGTGTTAGAATCCATCCTTATCTACACAGATGCTGGGCTCTTATCGTCAGGTGGGAAAACAAGGGTGGGAGGTGGAGATATTAATAAATCTGTACATTATAAAATCTCCCGTAAAACCATTAACAGTACCGTGACCATATTTTCTTTGAAAAATAAAGGGCAAAACTGAAAAACGGGCAAATCTGAAAGAGGGTTATAAGGATAAAACATTTTAATTATGTTTCTAACTTTGCTTTACAAAGGAAAATTCAAGAGCAAAACCAAGAAAAACTTTACAAAAATGCATAACCTAATAAAAATATCTAAAATCAAACGGTATATGTCAATTTATTTTAAAAAGACCACTCAATTTCCATGTTTTTCACATGAATGTGAAAGACGGTGCATGAAGCGGTACCATTTGTACGGTAAAATTTAAATGACCAAAATAAAGAACAAGTGAGTTTTTGAAAAATAAATAAATCTAAAGGTTCTGAAATAAAGAACTGTCCTTTATAATAAAGGACATATGGTCACTGTAATTAACAGTCAAAATGAAGTTTTAAAATCACTTCAGTTTACTGACCACCTACTGCAATTTTACTACTGGAAACAGCTGAAGCGCTGGCAGTATCAAGAAAGGCACAAATTTTTGAGAGCGCAAAAGTTTTGCTATCCCCAAAGATAGCACCAAGGGTTGTTAAGAGAATGACAGCATCTACTGGAACCATATATAGGATATCATAGAACAGTTTCATATCTTCATTCTTTTTTATAGTCTTTTATAAAATAAAACTGCTAGGTTGGTCCCCAAATCAGCTCTACCAGAACCCAATTTAATATAAATGTGCTGCCTTTAGAATCTGTATGGTTGCTTATTTGAAAGCAGTCGTAACAAAAAGAATCCTGCTGTTCTCTTGAATGAATTAAGTACTACTAAAATCAATATTAATTCAATATTATTAGCCATTCTCTTTCTTCTTGTAGAACCTGAATATGAGACTTTGCTGGAATAATGGAAAAATGAAAGCATGCTTTGCTGACAATTACTTGCTTTATTATAATACAGTGTTGGCAAATCAGAAAATTCAAATTTCAAGCCATCAGAAATAGTTGTTCAACGAGTCAAACACAAGGGAGGGGAGAGTGGTTAATATTCTAAAAAGAGGAGGCACTGTGACAAAAATACAGAAACCACAGTAATGGAAAATACAACTTTTTGTTACACATAAAATTATTTACATATATTTATATTTATACACATATTTAGAAGACTTGAACCTGAACCAGTAATTTTTGCTTTTTTAAAAAAGAGGAAAAAAATTATATTATGCACATTTTAATTTGCAGATTTCTTAAATTCCTCAGTATGAGCAATTATACGATCAAGTTTATGTGCAACGTTTACAATCTAAATCTCCAAGGATGCCTTGTATCTCCCTAAATCAAAGATCCCCGTTTCGTCAAGATTGGGTGGGCTTAGATCTCACAGAAGCATTTGTTTTTCTCACAACCCCAGTAGCTGCCATCATACCACTTGGGAATTACTAAAGGGGATCAGTTGAGTGAGGTATGTGCAGGCGCGGCTCTGCGCATGGCTTTGAACATCTGGAGAGGCAGGAAGTACACGAGGCAGCTGTATTTCCTGACCCTGACTTATTTTTCTAAACATCTAGGCTGTTTTGGTGACTATCACGAGAACAAAGGGTTGGATGCAAAGATTCTCCTCCTCCATTCTTTCAGAGAACTGGATTTCTACGCCCAAAATACACTTTCTGTGGAAAAAACATCGGCAGACAACTGATTTCGTGCATCTTTTTACAGGGGATGAAAATGCGTATCCGGTTTTTAATCTATCCAAGGAGCAAAGACCTGCAGAAACCACTTTAACATGACAGTTCCTTAGGTGTTGACTTGTTTTAACAAACTGCCCTTGCTTTTTTAAAAAAAGGGTTTTAAAATAATATAAAAAATACAAAATGGAAGCATTGTTCTATATTTTCCAATATATATTTTCAAGTGCGGGGAAGAGGGAAGCACTTTTGACATCAGGATTACGTCTGAGTTCTAGAAACCGCTATAAACATGAAAGGGGGCTGTTGCCGCGGAACCTTATGTGAATTCTTAAAAACAAACCACAAACCGCTCTGATTATGTGCGTTCGGAAGAAACATCATGTACGGCACCAAAATCCACTCACCTAACTTGATTTCCAATTTCTGAAAAAAAAAGGACTTATCTCATGCATACCAACAATCACTTTTCTAGTGAAACACTAAAGTGAACAATTGTAAACATTACAGAAACTGGGTTTTTTTTTTAGAAACATACACAGAGAGAGAGAGAAATACAAATACATCTTTACAACACTGTACATTTTCACTGGCTGATGAAGATTTTGACTTAATGTTCACTATTGATCCCACTGGGTATACGTGTTTATTGTTAAAAGGCACAGGTTGGTTAAGAAAGAAAGCATTCTGCAACTATCCATTTATTTCATCTTCTACTATCTCCCTCTGTTCCTCCTCTTCATCATTAACAGTTTGCTTTTCCAATATTCCTTGCCTTCTGAAAGAGGTTTTAGGAAATTTCCAAAATGCTGCAATCGTTCACAGTATGGTCAGCACTGGTCATCTACATCAGCTCTAGGGACCACCTGCCTGCACGGAGCTTAAGAAGCAAACGAGCCTGCAAATTCTGCTTCTCAAGGAAGTCACACTTTTCCAAGTTTCACGAGCAATAAGGATGAATGAGAAGCTTCCACAATTTTCCCACCCTGGAAATGAACTCCATTTAAGACCCATGTCCCATAATATCTCCTGGATCGAATGGGCGGGAGATTTAGATGTTCGGTTTGTGGAAGCTGAATCCACCAGGATTGATCGGCTGGTCCTTGAACAACAAGGAAGCCGCTTGCCTGCTACGTCTCACGGGAGATATTGTTTGGAGCAGGACTGTGCGCTGCGCTGATTGGTTCACTTCTATGAAAACCAACTTTTATGAAAATATTTTTCCACCCTTCTTGAAGGACTACGTACAGGGATGACTGGCTGCATCTGATAACAATAATGAAGGTTCCCCACTACCAGTTCAAACAAGTCCTTGGCACATAATATGAAAGGGCACACCAAGCACATTTCTGAACATCTGTTCCAGGACAGTCCCATATCTGGGGTGGGGGTTGATAACAATTTCAAGACTGTCCACAGGGCTCATTTTAAAAAACTCAAAATCACAGCCGTGTGATCATAAAAAACAGCCAGAGCCTTGACCGCACCATCCGGGCCAACACCTTGACTTTTTCAACCATGCCCTGAAGACGCCCGTGTGCAATTTTAAACGATGTGATTTTTTTTTAATCTAGTTGAGCCACTGAAGTTGCATGTTATTTCTAACAGAAACAACACAGCGTCACACGCACACAGGGCCATGATCGTAGAAGGGTAACACTGACAGTGAATTGCCAATAAATGTTAATAAGCAAGCAACTAACCGCCGATAGTTGTCCAACTCCTATGTTTCTGTCCTTCCCTTCACCAAACTGCAAGCCAAAACATTTCACGAAAGAGTCTTAATCTTTGTACAACTGACGCAGATCAACCACCATCTTCTGTGAATTCATAAACCAGGGATATTTGGCTTAGTTACTGACAAATGATACACACCAGAAGCGTTATAAATAGAGAAGGGAATCCAGATAGGGACCCTGTTCATTTAAGGCAAAGGGTATGTTTTTACAGTAGTTGCCCAGGCAGGAAATGGTATTCTTGCAGTTCTAAAAGACTTTTCTTCCCAAGGTCAGACCTAGATTTGGCACAACACCCTTAATGCAGAAACTCCCATTTGCCGATCATGCTAAGCTTTACCTCGTGGGGCCAACACAACCTCAATGAAGCTTTCCTGGATCAACCCCACTGGAAGGCTCCTTTGATTGAGATGGGCGATAGTAAGAGACTCTGGCAAGTCGGATTGTGCTGGACTTCCTCCCCCTTCTTATACTCCTGTGAATCAGGGAGGGGTCTGCCTGAGCCCCTTCCAGATGTTATCTGGATGTTCTGGACTTAAATGTTCCAGCCCCTGTTGCCTGGATCATTGTTCCTGCATATTTCCATCAAGGTCATCTTCCTGACTCTACACCAGTGTTTCTCAACCTCAGCTACCTGAAGACGTGTGGACTTCAACTCCCAGAATTCCCCCACCACCAAAGCATAGCCGGGTGGGGGAATCTGGGGGCTGGAGTTCACACGTCTTTCAGCTGCCAAGGGTGAGAAAAACTGCTTTTCA